AGGGGAGAGTGGGGATGGGGAGCCCCGGCCCGGCTCCTCGCTGGCCTCACTCGTGCCCGGCTGCTCTCCCCTGAGCATCCTCAGGCCCGGAGGTCGCGGGGGTGCCTAGGAGCCCCCGGGAGGGCTTAGCACGGCCTACAGAATGCTCCTGATGTTACCATCTTGCTGCAGGGCATCCCGGGGTGGCACTGAGGGGGGCTCTACCTGCAGGTGCCTGAGCAGGAGAACGCCACGTTCCACATGGAGCAGCCCGAGCGTGAGATGGGGCTGATCCGGTCCATCAAGGAGCAGGGGATGAGGGAGCTGCAGTGCTGCCTCGGTGGGCTCTGGCTGTGGTTGGGCTGTAGCGGAGAGCAGGCAACGCATTGCCCTCACGCCTGGTCCTTTTCTTCAGCGGCGCCCCCTTCCCCACCTCCCCAGCCCTGGCCTGGCTGCTCCGTCCCCGGGCCAGGAGGCACCTTCTACACCTCCTGCAGCTGGAGAGGCGGAAGGCCCAGAGGAGAGGGAGAACCAGGCTGTTTTTTCTGTGGTTCCCCCCAGGCAATTGAAAGGGTTTGGGGCGGGTTGCCGTGGAAAGGAGTGCGGGATTCTTCTGGCAGATGAGTGGGGAGATTGGGCTGGCTGTTAGCTACCGGCCCGGAGCTCTCACCGGGAGGTTGGTGCACTACCCAGTAAAGTGAGAGAACTGGAAAAGGAAAAGGAGACTTGACGAGATGTAAAGGTGATCGTGCAAGAAGTAACTACTGTGCAAGCAGAGCGGTGCTATGAGCTGCAACATCATGTAGAGCGGTTGGTAGCACATATCACTAATAAGTGAAGGGACAAATATGGAAAAAGGTAGGTTTCGATTTCCCAAGTTTGTGCCTTCACCACAAAATGGTCATGGGATCCCGTGAAATGAGATGGGAGTATTTGGAGTGAATCCTCAGACTCTGACATTGAGTTTGGATTTGATCTAGACTTTAAAGGCAGGGAGGAGGTGGAAGTAGAACCCCTCATAAAACAAGCAGTGAGCAGGAACGAGCGGATGGGGGGAGTGCAGATCAGTCGTACTTACACTCCAAAAAAGTTAAGGGAATTTTTAGAGATCTATCAGCAAAAGAGTGGGGGAGGCGTACTGGCACGGATTTTGTGAGCTTGGGATAGTGGAGCTGCATCTATCCATTTATTAGTGGATGAAAAAGATATATTAAGCCCTATAGGCAGTGATGATCAGATACAACGAGGATATGCTCAGCTGCAAAATGTCAGAGGTTCTGATGGGTGAGACATTATTGCACCTACGCTCTCTCAATGGTTGGGTGCAACAGTTTTAACAGCATGTGCAGAACCGCTCAAATTAGTATCGTCCCACAGGGACACATTGGAAATGGGAACATAGTTTACAGCAACAATTTCTAGCAGGAAAACTACATGTAGCCTCTCCACAGGCCACTCTTCAGAACTGGAATCACATGCCCAGAGGAGGGGAAACTCTTGCCCTTGGAGGTATCCCTGCATCTCCTGTGGAGGAGCCTCCCCCTTATGATGGGTTAATAGAAGAGCACAAAAAGATGCCTGGTTTGCCGATGGGAGTGCAGCACCTCTGGTACAAAACATGGTGAGGACTGAAATTCTTCCAGATGGTATCGCTCCCAAAACAGGAACTACAGGGGAAATGGAATTGTTTACACCGATGGATTGTGTGGCAGGACCGCGACCTGTCAGCGAGGACATGAACTGAGAACGCCGTATGGTTTCGTACCCCAACTTCAGCACATTGCTTGGGGAAGCAGCACTCCCGGTCTTACTTCCAGTAAGGTCAAGTACTACATGGGTAGAGGCCGTTGGAGACAAATCCTACTGTAATGTTCTTTACCTTCAATACACTGTACTAAAGTTTACGGTATAAGTGAACGACTGAAAATAAACCTTTTATTTCTCTAGCATTCTGTTGTACCTTTGATTTTTGAAGTTGCTCTGTAGGCTGTGGCCACTCTTGTGGTGCCAGAGAGTGCAAGTTTTCAGTACTAACGACTCTTTTGGTCTGTATGAATTGTTTTTCTGTTTGAATAAGGGACTGTGTTCCCTTGCTGCTCAAAAGGCTTTATTAGCTAAGCGGAGCTGTTTATACAGGCAGGCTACCTGTTGAAGAAATGACGCCGACTTCCCTCGAAGAGTTGTCCGCGTAGTAGTCTCGTCTGGCCACGTACTCCCTGACGTTGGGTAGAGCGGGCACCACACAGCAGCTCAGAGCGCTACGGTTTATGCCCATGTCCTGAACATCGTACCACTCATTAGTGTTTTCGTCGTAACACTCCACATGGAAAGTAGTAGTAAACCCGTTAAAGCCGCCAACCACAACCAGAAGATCGTCCACCACTTCAATGCCAAAGTTGCTGCGAGGACTGAACATGTTGGGGACTGTGCGCCACATGTTGGCAGCGGGGTTGTAAGCTTCCGCGCTGCGGAGGCGGTTGACTCCGTCAAATCCTCCGACCTGGGAATGCCAGAGGTACAGAGTTGAAACGGGCCATTCCTCACCCGCTGAGGCGGCC